GGGGGGGGGGGTCAGGAGTGAGTGGCACCAGTGGGGACGAGGGGCTTTGGGTTGAGAGTGAGGTCAGCAGCAAGGCTTGGTGGGGCTGTGGCTTGGGGGTGAGGGGCAGGGCACTGGCATATCAGGGCTTCTCAGCACCACAAAGCAGCTGGGGGGACAACCACAGCTACGTCCACATCCTGGTGTGCAGAGAGGCAGGGGGAGCTCTGATTTTTCCATGATAAAGGAACCAAAATCAAACAGCAAAATATATAGGTATTTAGAATTTATTTTATTATAGTGATTGAGGAACTGGTAGGCTTCCAAATTTCTTTAAAATTGTAAGTATACCAATAAAACATTGTTTTCAATTGATACCTTTATATATACTGGTGTTTCATTTTAATCACAGAAAAACACATATTTTGAGGGTTTTAATCAGAGAATTTAGGATTTTTTAACAGAGAAAAACCAGGCTTCATGGTGATGATGCTCCACACTATCTGCATCTCTTTTTTCAAAATCCTAGATCTACTCATGACAACAGGGTTCCAATTAATAGCGTAGGTGGGACCACAGTGGTGGCACATAATCTGCCTGAACCTGTGTAGATGGAATCTCAAGACTTTAACCAGGTGTTGGAAGACTGTGCTGGTCTTGATCCTACTGATTGGAATCGTGTTCTAATTAGGTTACAAGGAAAAAACAAATTGGAACCTGGTCCATTGGCACAAGTGTATTTAGAGTGTGGACTTGCTTCCTTAACTCAAGTAGTGGCTGTGCACGAGAGAACACTTAAGTTCTTATAGGAAGATGCATTTTTGCTAGGTCACTATGCGCAGTATCAAGGGCATTCAGAATATTTTGTGAGGAAAAAAAATCCTAAATTTCTCTAAAACTTTCTCTAAATCTTAAAACTTGGCTTTAGTGTAACTTTATTTTCAGGTTTGTAAATATAAAGAACAGTGGAATCTGTTACTTTTATATTTCTAAACACATTCAAATCTTGCTGAAATCAGATGGAGTTATGAAGACAGAGGGCAGAATTGCGGGGGGGGTTGTTTCTTGAAGGGAGAGAAAAGTAATGTGAATTATATTAATATTCTGCAAAGTACAGGCCAGTTCATCTGACCTGCCAATGACTTTATTCCTTGGCTGACCTTATTGCATGTGATTTCCAATGAGATATTAATGTCTGCAGCTAGTTAACCTGGTGAAGAAATGTATATTTCAATTGTTGAAAAATTTAGAGTTTGAACAATTTTGGGGGTTGATGTCATGTCCAACCAAACTTTAAATTTTAGGGAAGGGAGCCTGAACCTGCTTGGAGTCGGGCAGATTCTGATTCAGTGGAGCTCACATTGTGGTACTTAGACAAAACCTTTTTAAGATTTGCAACACTTTTTTTTTTTTTAACCCTATTTCCCAATCTTGTATCAGTGTCTGGCAATGCAACATCTTGATTCCATGATCTAAAGACACAGCAGTCATGGGAAAGTGCTTCATCATGATATGAAATGTACTGGTGTTCTCTTTATCTTCCTCTTTCTCATGTAGGTGAAGGGACAGCTGTATTAAAACCAAAAATTTACCTTTACCCTATATAAAAAGTGCACAAAAAAGCAAACTGTTAAATTACCCCCCAGAGCTACAGTACTGATTCCTCTAATAGGTATTCTCACCTTTACTTACATGTTGTTACTCTGTGGTTCAAAGATCCAACAGGAAACAGAATAGTTACAGAGGTGCAGTGACAAGAAAGCCAGCACTTCTGCTCATCCTTTTTGTCTTTTCAAACACACTGCAGTAAAGGAAGTGTTACACAAGTAGAACTCGTGTTTCCATAGTAGCAGATGGGCAACTGCCTGGAAATGGGTCACTGCTAGAATTGTTCTGCTAATTCTAATTGCTGAGCAGCTGATGGTTAGCTTGGTGCAAAAGAGTTAAAAGTTTATAACCTCCCCCCAGTAAACAGATACTGCTGCAGAGAAAACAAGGAGCGGCAGCTAGGCCTGGACATTAGCTCCTAATATTATTAGCATCTTAAATGGTCACTTTATATAACACGGGTTGTAAATAATGTTCACCTCAATTCTGTTGCCATTTATACCAAATTTTCCTCAGTGTAACTTCTTTGACTTCAGCGGAGTTACTCTTGTTTTACATCAACATGTGTGGGAAATCTAGCCATATCTCTTTACATTTTTTTTCTCCTTGATTGGAATTTGAACAGAGTTTATGCACAAAAAACACACCACCATTTTTTCTCTCCTTGGCGTTAGTAAAATTTCTACTTGTCTCATGCACGTTAGCAGAGTTTGCCAGCAGCTGCATTTTACCATTATATAAATGAGGCTGTAACCACCTGCACAGATTTTAGATTCTGTTTCCCCCCTTGTGGTGGGCTGGGATCACTCGGGTGCATAACTGTTTAACAAAAAAATGCTGAAGAGGGTGACCCTCCCATTTGTTAGCTGAATAGTCTTGTGGTTAGAGCACGTGTCTAGGGGAACCTCACCTTCCCAGAAATTGCACCTCCAGCTTTGCAGCAAGCTGCTCAAACCACCAGGCTATAAGCTAGCACATTATAGCCCATAGACATGTGTCTTCTCTTACCTTTTGTTTGAAGGGCCCAGCAGGAGAGGGATTGTGGCTCAGTGAGACAATTACTGCCCTGAAATGGGATAGAAACTGTTAAGCTGCTGTTTTATCCATTGTATCCAGCAAATATTAAATGCAGAGTTCAGAAAAGCCATTGGCTTCTCCTCTTTCTCTGTTTCTTTTGGCAGTTAGGAACCTATTTGGATGATTCTTCTTTACCACAGGGGGAAACAGAATATAAAATCTGAGTAGGTGCAAAAAAGGGGCATTTATGCATTGCATTATCTGCATTCATGCATTATGCAATTAAGTAGGTAACAGCTGTGTAAAGATGAAATAACACTTGGCCCTAAGGGCCCCTCTACATATGCAGGTAAAGGTATGATGGGATCTAATGCATTATCCGCACAGTATGTGGCAGGAGGCAGGATTGTGGGATTGTAAATCAGATCCTATCATGCCTTACTGCTAGGGACCCATTTAAATTGTGGTAAGATTAAACAATGTTTGCAGGTTGGTCATGGCATGAAGAACTAATTTCACACATTTCTCAGATGTTCTCTACCGGCCCTGCTCCCTAGCGCTGATTAGCAGAGAGGCCCTGGTGTGGGGAGAAGGGATGAGGTGGGAGAGGAGGGATGAGGGGGCAGCTGCCATCTTGTCTGCTGCCCTTCGTGTTGCCCCACCAACTGATGCCTTCCCCCCAGGTGGGCTGTGAGGCCAGCTGTGGCAATGAGGACCACTGGTTCCCATTGGGGAGGCAGCTTTTTATTTTTATTAAAAATTTTTTAAGTTGATTTTACAGGCAATACCAGATCTTGCAACTTCTGCAAAATTGTGAATTGAACAGACCCCTACTTACTGCTGGTGGAGGAAGGGTCCAATCCCAGGCTCCCCCTACACCAGCAAAAAGCAAGCTCCTGTGGCTGGGGGTCTCTCTCAGCTGTGGGAGTGCATAGGTCTGCTAGCCACGGGGGCACATGGCCACACATTCAATTAATGGCATGATAGGAAGTAGCTACAAACGTATTACACCTTTTGGATAATTTCTCCGTTTATCATGCCCTGAATTGATTGAACACATGTCTGGGTGACCACTTAAGTCATGGTTAACTGGCAGATGGATGCCTATATCCCCTGCAGAAGGGAGTCTCCACCCACCACCACCTGTCACTTCCTCTTGATGGCAGTGGTCTTAGTCCTCCCAACCTTGGGGATGCCTGGCCTGGCCTCTTCCACCAATGGAACATGTGTCTTCTCTGTTGCTAGGGCTTCTTATCTGTTCTCTGGGCAAATTGCTGCAAGTGGAGACTTCTGCTTGTTGCCACAGGTCACAGGCTTCCAACTTCCACCTTCCTTCTCTAGTGCTGCCTCTGGCAATCCTTCCTCCACTGCCCTATATGTCTCCTTCAGCCATGAATCGATGGAGTCCTCATGGTAGAAGATACTTCATAGCCTTGCCACCTCTTCCTGTAGCTTTCTTGCCTGCTCCCTGAGGGACACCACCATAAGGCACCACTTACATTGCACACTCCCCTCACCTGGCTGTTGCTGAAAGGAACCTGCAAGTTGCAGTCTCCACAACACCAAATCAGGACCTGGGTGAAAGCCTCAACTGTGAGCAATCCTGCCTGGACAGACACCTCACTGGTGCAAGCAGAGGAAAAGCTGGCAGTGGCAGTGGCTCTGGCACATTTCTCTGGTTATCTTAATCCTCTGCCTCTCTCTTCCTGACCCTCTTCCAAGCAAGCCTTCCTTAAACTCCCCTGTAAGTTGGCCTGTTCACTGCTCCTTGGTCCTGAAAGTCTTTGTTTTCCCTGCTCACCTGCTTCTTCTCACCAAGTTTACAGTGGAAGAAGGTGAGAGAGTTTCTAGGCAAACTCCTTAGTGAACTCCCCCTTGCTCTAGACTCTAGGTAAACAAGTATTAAGTATTGGCTTAACTGCTGAGTTTTAGCTACTTAAACAAAATATATGTAGGTTAGCTACCCTTAATTAAAGAGAGAGCTTACCTGAAAAGCTCCCCTGCAAGAGGAGGGTGGCAAACTAATCTGTGGACTGACTTGAACTGTTTGCTTCTCCTGTTTGCTTCTCCTGTTCGCTTGCTTGCAAGGGCTTTGGAGTGTAGAAAACCTCTGGACCCTGAGGATTGCAGTTGCTGTGTGGGTGTGGGAAATCCCCAAAGCCAGAGGACTGTGGTGATCCTGGAGCACTCCCCTGCAGCGATCTCTGTGTTCCTTGTGTTCCCTTGCAGTGATCCTCTGGCCCCAGGAGTTTCCCTGCAACCCCAGAAAACAGGGATCACTCAGATTTGCTGTAGCAGCAATTCCTCCAGCCTCAGGGGTATATTTGGTGGCCCCATGGCTGGGAGCCCTTCAACTGGGAAATGTGGGGCTCCCACCCGCAGGAGCTTCCTGATGCAGGGAGGAGAGTCCAGAATCAGGCTCCCCCTATACCAGGTGTGATGGGATCTAATGTGCAATCCCACAATCGCATCTCCTGCCAGGCACTGGCATGGCAGGAGGTGCAATTTTGTGAATCACACATTAGATCTCATCATGCCTTTAGCTTCATGTGTAGAGGGGGCCTGAGTATTTGCACTGTCCTCTGAAACAGTTAGTATTGGCACTGTCAGGGACAGTCTAGAAAGTCCAGAGCACTGGCTTCGATTGACCACCATTCTTATTCAGCCTGGCAGCTCCTATGTTCTTTTTTCTTAACTCCCCTGCAGGACAGGTTGAATGTTAAGGTGACTTATTTTTAGAACATAAAAGCCCATAACAGAGTTGTTGTATTTCCAAAAGGAAGTACTAAATGTCAGCGCAGTAACAAAGGTGCTGTAGGGACAGATGTAGATGCACCCAGCAATTACTTTCACAGTAGATGTCTTTTGATTTAGGCCACTGACCCCTCTTGTTTCCATGTTATTCCTTATTCTCATGTCACATATGCCATCTATTTCCATGAAGATACTTATGATTTACACTGATGTAAGTGAGAGGAGACTCAGACTTGTTATCTCTATTGGTTTCACTGTTTGTCTTATTTTAAACCCTGGTCCAAGAAATGCAGAGTTAAACACAGTTTTCAGAGTTTTGAATTTTTCAAATTAAGATATATGGCATATTGGAGGTTGTATTCTTAAAACTGCTGATGTACTGATATTCTCCAGAGCCAAGAAAGTTTGTAGAATAAAAGGATACCAATTATACCTTTTTAATATCTAATCTTCCCCGTTTTGTAGTTGCTTGCATTATCTGTGCAATTCTGCTAGTCTATGCTGTGTCTTTTATTTAGGGGTCCCTTGTGACATAGTGATGCCCATGGATGAAAAGGGAAATTGCAGGGTGTCTGAAGCTGACTCTCACATTAATTCAGCTTATAATGAACCTGATCCTATTGGTGTCTGAAGGAGCTTTGTCTGAGTAAGGTCAGTGGGAAATGAGCCCACTGAATAGTCACTTTCTCTATGGGAATCTATGTGTAGCTATGTCTGAAAAAGAATTATTCTCCAATGACTGTCTTTTTTTTACTTCTCCTTTCTCCACAGTCTAATGGTATAGCAGCACTTATCGCTGTTCTTATACTGTTACTTTTGGTGGCTCTTGGTCTCTTCTGGTGGTTCTGGCCTCTTTGCTGCAAAGTGGTAAGTAAAAAGAAAAAAAAAGTCAATATCTAGCTGGTATATCACTTTACAAAACATAATCAAAATTTTCTTGAAGTATAGATTATTTTTTCAAACAGTTCTTGAAAATAAGTAGTAAACCAGCATGATAACTGTTTAGAATGGGCTAAAGTCAAAAGTGTATATAATATCAGATACAAGTTTAGGGTTTATCAGTGGTATATTGTAAACCCCAGAAGAGGTCAGTTTCAACATAAGCAAGTAACTACTTTTTACAGTGCTGGCTTCTCTGACAGAAATCTAAGTAGAGATGAACAAGGAGAGGATGGGTGCATGTTCTATTGGCTTTCTCCTAAATGAGCAGATGTGCTGTATTTCAGTGAAATCTTTGATAAAAGCCTTTCCTCTTTTATTTGATAGTTGCAGACTATAATGGTGGGCAGATGTTACCATGAAATCAAGGACCACTGTAAAAGCACCAGCAGTAAAATTGATATTTGTAGTCCATTATGGAAGCCTAAGTTGGAAATCCTTTATTTTTCTATTAATCCCTTGCAAAAAATTAAATTTTCATCCTGCACATGTTACATCTAGTTTCATCTGAATAATGAACAGTCTTTATCTCAGCAGCAGTCAACAATGATGCTTCAATAGGTCTCCCTTCATATCCTCACATCAGGGGTTTTATTTTTGTGGAGGGTATTATCTGTTCAGTTGGTCAGCAGTCCTAAGGACATGCTGATATGTTGCAGTCTAGCATTAACATTCCCTCCACTTGGTCTTGGTTTAGGATTGGTGTCTACTGGAAGGCCATAAAGCAGTGTTCCCTCTAAGCTGTGTTGCGCGCCTGCGTGGCCGCACACACTACACAGCTTAGAGGAAATGCTGCCGTGAAGGAATCACCCTTCTCCATGCATTCTCTGAAACTGCTGGTGAAGCCTCAATGATGAAATAGGTGCAAGGCCTTAAACACGATGTGGAGCAGGAAGGCCCCCACTTTCTGTAGAACCATTATGTTCTATGGTTCTTAAGAACCCATCTGTAATGAAAGAATGCCTCTCATCCCACTTTCATAGGATTGTTCCAGGAAGGCATCCTTTGGTCATTTAGTCTTTCAGAAGCCTCTAGCCTGTGGGTTTTTCCACAGCATGAAGAAAGGTTTCTTATTTCCTTCATTTTTAAAAGAATTGGGTCATTCCTGTTCAAATGAGTGGTATGGACTATAGTGTCAGGTCTATAAGTAGTCTTTTCCAAGATGGTATTATGTGGGATATGATGATTCAGAGAGGATATGGTGGTTGTGACCTTCCTCCAGACTTTACATTTTGCATCCAACAGAAAATCAAATTTTCTAGGCTTCAAAGTCTAGCCCTTTTTTAAAAGTATAAATTAAAAATCTTGTTGACTTGAAGTGTGAATTTTCTTGCAAGGTCCCTAGTGAGCTGGAGGCTTGGTAAGTATTTGCAGGATTCTTAAAAATATGATTACATTCAAGTTATATTTTGCTTTTTTTTTTTTACAGTCTATTTACAGTGATCAGCACATCCCTTCTCGACAGCTGGCTTCTCTAACAAAGAGGCCTGTTGACTCTCATCCTGTTCCTGAGTTTTCAAGCTTTCTATTTTATTTAAAAGACAAACATACTTATCCTTGAGTTGATTGACATCAGGAAACCCTAGTGTTCCTTTAGGTCTTCAAAGCTCTCAGAGCTGCTTAACTTTTTGTGACTAGCTGAATGTGGATGTCAGTCAGAATAGAGTTCATTCACCTCTTATTTATATAAACCCAGAATCAATCTTTTTCAGTTGAAGGAGATGCATATCACATCAGATTCAGTTACACATGTCACTAACTATTTGCCAAATTGATGTTTTTCAGAGTTATGCTTTTGCATACTTACTGCAACACTTAAAATATGAGAAATGCTTTTTCCAATGGTCAACATTAGAAAGTCAGCTTCAGCTTACAGTGCTGTCCTGCTATAGTATTTTCCTTTAGTTAGAGCAGTAAGTAGTGGCAGTATCTTTAATACATGTGAGCTGTTGTAACTATGTTTATAGGTCTGGTCACCCCACAATAGCCAAAGCTCTATTTGTTTCCAGAATGGAGCTCAGGAGGCACCTAAACACTGCCTGTCTCCCAGCAAAGGCCATATCATTAGGTATGCTCAAAGCATTCCCAATTCACTCTGATGCAATTTTGCTCCATGCAAAGCCCAGCACCAGGGCCACTCTCACTCAAAATATTATAGGTTTTGGTTGCAGCAAATAATCTTCTAGGTGCTGTTCACCTAGGACTCCAAGTCCTGCCTCCAGGTGGACCTGGTACTGATTTGGAGTCACAAAGTATAAGAACAGATCTTGCATTTGTCCCTGGACAAGTTGTCTCTGTCCTGAAACAGCGGTATCCCAGGATTGGCATGCATATATATCACTGTTCTTACCAGAATTTAGTGAGTATTGGAATGCACTGCCCCTTTTCTGCCATTGATTCAACGATGCAATCCCAGGACAACTGTTCAGATGCAGTTTGTGATGTCTTGGGATAAACTGTTAGTACTTTTTATTCTGTGAGCCTTTTTAGGATTTATCCTAGGATAACAATGTGGACATCTGAATTTTTGCGCTTTGTCCCAGGAAAAAATGGTTTACCCCAGGACAAGTACAATGTCTATTTGTAGTCCCATAGTGTAACGTGTACATGGATAAATATAACAGGGGGCTTTTAGCCCATTATTTTAAGAGAATATAAGATCCACATGATAGGGTCACATTAAAGCTGAGACCCAGAGAAAAAATTCAGTAAAAGAACAGGTGGTGGGAAGACAAAGCAAAAGAGATTCAAAGGTTTGCCAACAGCCATGATATGTGTAGTTTCAGCAATACAACCAAAGCTGTATTTGGGCCAAACACATTCTTTAAAGACAGCTCCACCATCAACATGTGGTGAAAAGGGCACTTTCAAGAGCTCCTGAACTGAGATTCGGATGTTGAAGACAATACCATCAAAGCCATCCCACAACACCCCATTAAGGACTGACTACCTTGCAGATCCACCAACTTACCAAGAGGCCTTAAACGTCATTAAGTAGATGAAAAACAACACATCGTTGTGTTGGAACACCAGCTGAAATTTATAAACAAGGTGGTAAAAACTCTCTTACCAACTATGTCATTTTGAAAATCTGGAAACATAAACTGATTCTCCGCAACTTCAAAGATTCCGTAGTCATTTTCTTGTTCAAGAAAGGAGATAGATGTGCAGCAGTTATCATGGTATTGGACTCCTGTCCATAGCTGGGAAGATCCGTGCCTGCATTCTCCTCAGTAGATGCATATCCCTCACTGAGGAGATTGTACCTAAATCCCAATATGGTTTCAGACCATTCAGAAGCACAGTAGATGTGATCTTTGTTGCAAGACAGCTGCAGGAGAGCGGTCATGAGCAACACAGATCTGTTCATGGCCTGCATTGACCTGACTAAGGCCTTTTGATTCAATCAACAGAGAGGTCCTATGGAAAATCCTGATGAGATTGATATTAACAAATTTTGGTGGGCATCCAAGACTTCATCATGATGATCTGACAGTAGCCATCTTAAGAAACAGTTTGGAAGTGGACCTTTTTGCTACTGGAACTGGAGTCAAGCAAGGATGTGTGATTGCACCAACACTCATTTCCATCTGTATCACAGCTATACTTCCATCTGGGAAGTCGGCATCCAGTATTGCATGGATGGGAATCTCTTTAACATTAACTGGTTATGTTACAAATCCAAGATAACTAATACCTATATTACTGAGCTTCAGTATGTTGATGATTGTGTTGTGTGTACCTCACAAGCTTCAGGTCATTCTTGACTGCTTCTGTGAAGCATCCAGTGGGTTGAGTTTGGACTCATCAACCTCAAAAAGCCAAGATCCGTTACCAACTGACACCAAACCAACCAGTTGCTCCTCCAAATATTACAGTTAGAGTGCAGTCCTTGGAGAATGTTGAGGATTTCTCCAATTCAGGTACTTCCCCAAAAAGTAAACATAGATAACAATATTCAAATGGGATAAAATCTGCTAGTACTGCCTTTGGATGTTTCTGAAATCATGTCTTCAATGATTATACATCAGGTCCTAAACCAAACTTCTCATCTACTAAATTGTTGTCATCCCTTCTCTGTTGTATGGGTGTGAAACATGGATGACATGTCAGAAACACTTGAAAACTTTAGAATGTTACCAACAGCAATATCTTTGGAAAATCCTCCATATAAACTGGAAGGACAGAAGAACAAATGCCAGTGTTCTGGCTCAAGAAAATGCAACCATTATTGAAAACATGTTTATTAGGGTTGTGTAATGCTTCGCCGGCCGATCAGAGGAGGGTGTGGGGCCCTCACCAAATCAGCTTGTGTGCGGGCCTGCCACTGCCCTGGTCCCAAGGTGCTGACAGGTCTCTGCATGAGCTGATTTTCCCCAGGCCCTGCACCAGAGCTGATCTCGAGGTGACAACTGGTCCCCACGTGAGCTGATTTGCCCTGGGCCCTGCACCCTCCTCTGATCAGCTTTGGTGTGGGGCCTGGGGCAAATCAGCTTGTGCGGGGAACCGCCTTGGGATCGGGATGGTGCCAGGTCCCAGCACAAACTGATTTTCCCTGGATCCTGCACCAGACGCAACCCAAGGAGGGTGTGGGGTCTAGGGCAAATCAGCTCCTTTTGGGGGTGTTCTGTAGGTTATGGCACTAGCTGTTAGGGCCTGAGCTCAGGTGCTTGAGGTGCACATGCATTTGCAGCCAAATCCTGAAGAACTTCAGTTGCTGATGATGAGTTATTTCTCCTTTCCTGTTGCCTTTTTCACTGTAGGCAACTAAGGTGGTTTATCATGATGATATATTAAGGTTGAAATACTGATACTGCAGCCACTAAAATTTTGATTTAGCAAAGTACTTAGTGGAAGCTGAGGTCTGTCTCTGTTTAGTATGTGGCGAATTTTTGTTTTAAGACCTATTAACTTAAGTGCAGATATTTGTGGAATACAGTATTGTGCAGACTGAATTAGGGGATGAGAATCTGGCCCTTTATGAAGGAAGGTGTTTGATACATATTAATGTCATATTGTAAAAGCAAAAAACCCAAAACAGCCTGATTTCTGTGTGAGCAATAAAACAACAATGCTTTACATTTTAATATAATGCGCTTTTACTATCCATTGATGCTGTTTATTTGTTTCCTTTCTAAAATGTTGAAAATGTTGTCTTTGGACTTACTGCTACAATGATGCCAAGAGCCAAACACACATTAATTTACACTATACATGTTAACAAATACGGACTCTTCCATAGTTTTTGTTTTGACAGACATTTCCTTAACTTGTTATGATGTGTTCTCTCATTCCTTTCTTTTTCTTCTCATCTAGCATTTTAGCAGTTTTTATTATTGCTGTTTCCATCTAGTTACTTACTGGCTTTGATGCAAATATTTTTGACCATTGATCACTTCTTCCAAATATTAGAGAAGGGGTGGGGAAAAATTCAGATCTGCTTATTTCATGGGACAGAGCAACAGAGAGGGGAAAAAAACAGCAACACCCAACGAAAAAGGACTGTGACATCATCTGAATTAGAACAAGAAAGGATAAAGATCTTGGAGACTGAATGAAAAGAAATGTCTGAGAATTGCAGAAGTTCTTGCTTTCTATTATCTGCAGGCAGTTGGTTTTCAACAGTTTAGATGACTTGGGCATTCTGTGTAATCATTGCCAGGAGCCAGCTCTGAAAATGTTACTTGATCTGCAGTCCATGAACAGTACCAGGTTGTTGTTTTTTTTTAAAGGCAGTTCACTGTTGACAGTTCTTTCACTCTTCCCTGAATATCAGAACATATGATTCCATCAAGCTGGCTTCAGGCTCTAGTGCTGACATTTCCTAATGCCCACATCACTAGAACATTTGAAAAGTGTTAATGAGCAGATCAAAAGGCCTGTTGCCTGAAGCTACTAACTTTCTTTCTTTCTTCCTTTCTTTCTTTCCCTCTCTCTCTCTCTCTCTTTTTCCAAATAAAGAAATGAATGAGATGCAGTCTTTCAGGTTGTTGATGATGACAAAACAAAACAAAATTGGAGATGAATCAAGCTGTACATATCGTTAGTAAGGCAGAAACATTCACCCAGCTCTTTAGTGCAGGATTTAACAGTAAAATAAAATAATAACCTTTTGATTATGTCCTTTAAAATATCTGAAAAAAATTTTATTCTACACAAAAGCTTAGGTTTCTCAATTTTTAAAATTTAGATATCAGGACAGCTTTCTATTGACCTTACTGACCTTTAGCATTCAAACTAAAGGAAGTACTGATAGTGCTCTGTGAGAGAGAGAGAGAGAGAGAGAGAGACAAAGCATGCAAGGAGCCTGTTGAAACATAAGGATGCAGACATTTATGTGCCACTTCTGTCAACAGGGCCAAATATCTGCTACTCAAGGCAGATTATTTTCTCACACTATTGTCACTTAATAATGGGATTCTTTTTAAACAAGCTTCATCTTCTGAAGCTATTAGGAAATGCATCTAATTAATGTTTTAGCTAAATCCCTAGTTTATCCTACATAGCAGCATTACTCTAGGGTCTGAACCATTGTCCAAGAAGTCAGCAGAAAGACTTGCAATGGCTCACAGGTTTACAAAGCTCACTGAAGTAAAGAAGGTCTCTTTGCCTTGATTTCAGTGGAATTTAGCTGCCTATCCCATTAAAATGGATGGGAATTTGGGCCTAACAAGCACTGGCCTGCATCCTGAAACTAATATGCATTTTGGTGCATAAAGTTGATTCTGATCTGAACAAGGAGAGATTCAGGAATATAAAACTGTAGAACTATAACGAGTGGAATGGCAGAATTATTATTTGTTTAAATAGCACTCAACCTTTTTAGGGATTCTTCCCTGAAAAGCTTGTAATCTTTATCAGGCACATATATAAATGTTAAGATAACATATAAAGCAAATATAGCATAAAGGGGGATGAGAGTTACAATAATGAAGATCAGACACGCTTTGTAATATTGATAGAAGGTCTTAGCAGTTCTGACTTTTTGATTGATTTTATTGGGAGTTAGGTACCTAGATGCTTTTTTTTGTAAGTCCTACTAGATTTATGTCTGCTTCTTCAAGCACCTAAATATGTTTAAAGTCTGGTTCTTAAACCCTTTGGTTTCCTCAATTTGTCATCTGAGAAGTAGAGGCAGTAATTCTTGCTGGCCTCTCAAGGATATAACTTGCATTAACTCATAAATATTTATAAAGTGCTCTAATTTCCTGTGGTGAGAGAGAATATAGAAAAATTCAACCTTAAGTTACAAAATATTTAGGGAAAATATCATTTTTGGCACATCTTGTAAGCACTGCTTCTGGACTCGAAGAGTTGTCTCTTAGATAAAAACCTATGATTTGTTTCACAATCTGTTGAAGATGATGAGAGCTATTCTGGCATTATGATCTGAAATGTGTGTGATAACATTTAAGTTAAACTGGCCAAGATATAAAAATATATATGTATTTCTTGTACATATGGTGCTGTGAATTCATTCAAGATATTTGCAGGTACTGTTAAAGGTAATTAAAGGAGATAGAAGAAATAATATGCATGTAATATTTTACATATTTAACTTGCTACTAAGGGGTTTTATAGATCAGTCATTTTATATGTGGTACAACCTCATTATGAATCCTCATAACAAACCACTGTGGGACAGAGAAATTCATTAGGGTGTGGAGTATATGCTGTAATAAGGTTATACAGTTTATGTAGGGATTGTTTACAGTGGGGGATTATTATGAGGTTGGCATCCAATATTAATCAAAAGTGTTTAGTACCATGACACAAAACTAGTCTTTGTATCAGTCGAGTATTTATTTGGTTTTCTATACAATTTGGACATACCAAAAATAGTGTCTCTCCATATAGTGAAGCATTTATTTATTTTTTTTGCTGTTAGGTTGGCCTTACAAAGAGTCCAACTTTAGCTTGAGACATTTAGACTGTTTGCTGAAAATTGCTTGTGATTTTAAACTTTTACACTCGTCTAATAATGTATTAGCAACTTTTTCAGTTTAATGATGTTAGTTGTGGGGAGAGGGGGGTCTCTTGAAGATTCATGATATGCATGCAAATAAGAGAACAGAAAGGAAGAGCAGGGGAGGTCTGAGTAGCTAAAATCTATTTGAGAGCTCATTTGACTATCTTTAGTTAAAGCACCCTCACCATCATTTTGAAATGCGGGGATGCTGATACACGAGGCACAGAGGCTGGCTAGAGTGCACTAATTAGCATGCTCCAGCAGGCTCGATTTAATTGAGTCTGCTCCAACGCATTACAATTGCAGCATGTCAGAGCAGCCTCCCAGCACATCTACAAGCACCCTCTATTCATAACACTGAATTAAAGGCCACCACTAAGTTGAAACAAGATTGGAAAAGCCTTGTGTAGGGTAATAGAAAGCTTTTCTTAATAACATGAGAATGCTCTGCCATGTACTTCAGTCTGTTAGTGTTAACTCAGACTGTTAACATCCATAGGCCAGAAACCTCATGAATAAGTACAGAGTAGTAATGAATCACCTTAACAGTAGAGATCCTTTTCCAGCAGTGATCTAAAAATGCTCATGCATATTGCATCACCACGTTGTAGGAATCCTGTTTTAAGCACAGTCAGGGAGCTACATCTTTAAATGATAGATCTGGAATGTTAGAGCCACATAAATAAGCTGGAAGGCTAGAGGTGATCTTGAATTACTAGAAGGCATCTCATGCTTGTCATTGGGCCAGAAATTCTCTAGCAGCATGGCATGAAGGGACAGGCACCTCTGGTCCAAAATTAGCCAGTCTTCAGATAAGCCTTCAGGCCTTGGCCTGTCTTTCCTCCCATACCAACTAATTAATAGCCAGTGATGAAGTCATTTGCAGTTACTTAATATGACTGAACCTCATCCAGTTAGTAAGTAAATGGATAGATGCATTTGTCCAAAGAGTGCCTGTCAACAAGTTGATCTTATTTCCTATTAGAGGGATGGGGCTGCTTTCCATGCAGACTTGATCAATAGCCAAGGGAATTGCAGCAGCAGTTCCCAGTTGGTGAACTAATATGGGTAACTTGCAGTGGAATTCTCTGAGATTTGAAACTGTGATTCTTGTCAGTCATGCATTTATTTGTATTGTTTTTAGGTCATAAAGGATCCTCCTCCACCACCCCCAGCACCAAAAGAGGTATAGTATGAGGGTCTTTCTGGCCCTGTTAATTGCACACTTTTCAACAGCTCCAGCAGTCACATTAGTTACATTATACCCACACCTTTAATTCTACCTTAGCAACATATTTTTTATGTAGAAACTTTCCTTGCTTTTTAAATGATGTGTGACTGAGAAGGGAGGAAGACTTGGATTGGGGGCAGGCACTGCCTTCCCACTGGTTTACTGAAACTTGCAGGAATATAGCTTGCCTTTTTCACCCTCCTGCAAATCTGCCAGCTGGGAAGTGCATGTATGTTGGAGCAGAAGTTCCTTCCTAGAAACTGATGAGTTGTGAGGTGGTCGGATAGAAATGGGGAGAGTCAAGTGACAGTAGCGGTAGCACATCACAGAGGAAATACTCTTCTGGTCCTTTGGGCATCCTGAGCTTCATAGGTGGCTCATGTCCTTCAGGAGCAGCAGAGGAATAGAGCTTCATGTAGTGACTGCCTTGGGGAGTATGTAAGACAGTATCCTTGGCTTGGTATTGAACCTGATTGGGCTAGATGGTAAACAGGCCTGTGTCTCCAATAGACTGGGTCAGTTCAATAATTGTTAATAATCTTCAACCCTCTGTTCTTAACCCAAAAAAGAAACACTGCTAAATGACGTTTCTGTGAGACCACCGCTATTTATGATGCACCTTACCTTACAGGCAGAGCTTAATTACAGGTTTAGTGGGAAAACTCCATCCTCCAAGGCCTAAATTGATAGTTAATCATAATACATTTTAAAATGTGAGTTTAATCAGTAAATCTTTATTCCTGGATACTAGATATGACTTACGTAAACCATGCTTATATTTCTGTTTCTTGCCTTTTTAAAAGAGCAAAGAAAGCTAGCTGACTTGTGAAACACTATTTCAAGCTGTCATAATTCTTGAGTGTTCTGTTCTAATGGCTTTCAAATTCGGTAGACAAATGCTATCTTATCTTAAGTCTTAAAATGCCTATGTTAAGTCTGATATTCTCTTGTTTCTGGATATTTCTGCTGAAGAATTAATTTGGATACATAATGGAAACCCATTTGAAACCTTATCTATGGAGCCATTCCCGTCATACTGTAGCAATTAATAAAATATCTACATTCTAGAAAGTTATAATGCCTGAAGGTTCTAAAGTGTATTCTGTATTCACTATGTTCCATTCTTCACCTTGTCCACTGACATGGTATTTATTTCAATTTAATAATTTGTATGATATTTATTGAATCTGGGATTTCAAAGCAGCCTAAGGGAGCTAAGTGTATAATTCTCCTAGATGCCTTTCAAAATTCAAACCCAGGAGTTTGCATTTATTCCCTGTTCCAAATGTCTTGTACTGTTTTAAATATATTTTCCTACGATCTGGCCACCAGATCTTAGATAACTAGATAGAATCCTAAAATATTATCACCTACCCCATATTCTACCGTCCCCTTACCTCCTTATCCTCACATGCACCAATTCTTGGCCCTTCTCATGCCTACAGGAAAACCAAGGAGTTTGGGTGGTTTTAGCAGCACATTCTCAAGACCATTGCAGCCTAAAACAATCTTTCCACTGCTTCTGAATTCTGGACAACCTTTGTAGGAAGACTCTGTGTAATCCCCTGTAGTCTGTATAGTGGACCAGATCACTCAGCAGTGGGAAACTGGGCATTCTGGAGTCTGAACACATATCCTTATTCACATAAGTTCATAAATGTTTGTTCAAACACATGCCTAATTTCATATGGGAGAGGAACAGACCTTTTGAGCTATACTCCTTTTTTTTCTTTTCTATCTGCTATGCTCAGTTTACTATATGCTGGGGATTAGAAATCTCTCTCTCAACCCCTTTTCCTGTTGGACTGGGGCTATCCAAACCTTTTTCACTGGGGGTGTCACTTGTGGTTTGTCCCCGAGTACAGTATGTTTTAAGAGATGTTTATTTCCCTGAATTCTGTTTGTTTTGCTGGAAAGGAGAACAGCATGATGACAGAGTTCTAATCAGTGCAGTGTACAGTTCAAGTGGATTGAGAACCTCTGGCTGGAATTGGGGCTTTCCTAATGATGATCAGTAACATTTTCCCACGAGCCAAAAGTCTGATATTTTTCAACTATGGTCAGACATCATGTGTAACAAGGAAAACATCTCATCATGTGTGACCTTAAAATTTTATTTTTCTCTATTTAAGATTATGATTTTTTTTTATTTATGGGCGCTAATAAAACCCCACATTAGAAAATAATTGTATGCAATGCGTATATCCTTTTTTTAAAAAAGCAGTCTTTGAATTTATGTGCAGGAAGAAGACGAAGAAGATCCTTTACCTCCCAAAAAATGGCCGACAGTGGATGCTTCCTACTATGGTGGACGAGGAGTTGGAGGAATTAAAAGAATGGAGGTTTGTACTCTTTGGAAATAAAAAAAAAGAATACTGTTGCATTGGAACATTAGATTTCTGTGACTAAAGTTGATGGAAACAAAGACTGTTAAGTGTGCTGGAAATATAATTGTATCAAGTTTGCTTGCTTCGCAGTGACATCAGTTTCCTAACATTTTTACCCTATACAGTAATTTTAACCATATCTCAGTAAAATATGAAAGACCTGATTTCATTAGTTCCATTTGTTTGGAACTTTAAATGGATGCGTAAAGGCATGCTCATTCCATCAAACTAATGAGAAAAGGGGGGTGAGAGCCTCTTTTTGAATGTTTTGGAAGAAATTACAGTGTAACATAAGTACTCTGTGGGCCAGCCAGACACACTGACAATAGTGACATTAAGGAGAGGCTTGATCCCAAAGGAACTCACAGCTACAACAGTGCCTGTCTTTGAAGAGACATGATAGCACCATGTTAATTAAAACAGAATGAAAAATGTGTGTCCTTATGGGCATGTCCTTATGTCAGATTTTATATTAAGTCAGCCTTTATGGAATTTACAAGGCAGTTTTCCCTGCATTTTAACTTTATTTTAGAACACTGTTGATATCCAAAGTATCTGCCCAGAATCTATCTTCATATGTAGACCCAGCCAGGAAATATAAATGCATATTGGGCCCAGTCTTGCCTGAGTTCCTAACATCTAGTAGGTTTGTAAATGTGTAAGTGAGAGCAGAATAGGACTATCATGTTTCTTTCCTTAGTTGTAAATCCCTAGAGTTTAGAAGTGTAAAGCTAAAACATATATTATGTAGCACTTCTGTAACCTAGGATACCCAAGTGCTTTACACAATAATGAATTAAGTTGCAAAGTGTGGGCCTGGACTCCTAAATGGACTTGTGGCAAGACTACACATTTGCTGTCTTTAAATTTTACAGCTTGGAGATAGGGCACTTTCCATTTTCCAGTCAGACAGAAACGTAAAAACCGATTAAACGTTCATACTACTGATTACCTTTAAAAACAATTACATTTATCACGCAACAATATTTCCTATTCTAAGAATGAGTAAAATGGCTTGTGGGATCATAGAAATACAGGGCTAGAAGTCACTTCAGGAGGTCATTTAGTCCACCCCCTTGCTTATGGCAGGATGAACCCTGTTGAAACTGTCCCATTTGTATAAACTGCTCCTAAAAACTTAACCGGATGGAGATTCCATAACCTCTTTAGCGAACTTGTTGCAATACTTAACTACCCTCAGGATTAGAAAGTTCTTTTTAATACCTAACATAAGTTTTAACAACTGTTTACTTTCTTTCCTATTCCCTGCTGTCACAGAAAGAAGTATCTGACTGTTATCAAATCCCACCTCGGTCTTTTCTTTTTCAGGCTAAATAATCTCACTTTTCTCAACCTTTTCTCATAAGTTGTATTTCCTAGAACTCTAATTATTGTGTTGCTCCCCACTGGACTCTCAATTTGTCTATGAATTTTTTGAAGTATGGTGCCCAAAACTGAATACAGTAGAAGCTAAGAAAAGAAGTTGCCTTCACAACCTTCATGATGATGGCAGAGTTTAGTCATCATTAGATAACTTTGGGGTTTACAGTTGCCTGAAAGCTTTCTGTTGTTGCATCAGCCTGCTCCACCCATGACAGATTTTAGGATGTTAATATCATATTTGTGTCATCAAAGTCCACAAGTTCCAGTTTCTTTTAGGCAAAGCTACTTTTAAGCTGAAGGAGAAGGTTATTTCTTCAATAAGGAAACCACCATTTAGCTCTAAAAGATTTTAACTGTGTTTAAAACACATTTTAACAGCCTTATAAAAACACTGTGAAAATACCAAGGATCATAGTGAAAGATACAGGTACTTTTTAATGACTCTGCAGGGTCTACTTGGAAATGAAAGCCCATTCTAATATTACAGTGGGCATGTCTACACGAGATGGCTTAATGCCTTTTGGACTAATTCTACTGCATATTAGTGCAGCTGGCAAAAACCATGCTAATGTGCAGTAGATTAGTCCAATGAGCATTAAGCATCACAAAAAAGCATTAATTTGTGCTAATGTGCAGTAGCACTGATTACAGCGCTTTAAGTTTTAGTACCTGTTATTACAGGTATTAACCTTAATGTGCCATAATTACAGCACATTAATGAACGTGTAGACATGCCCGGTGAGAATATTCCTGGGGGAGAAGAGAAAATAGCTAAGGAAGTCTAACTAAAAGGTTTAAAATAATCCCCTTCCCAAGATACAGTAGCCTATATTTTACCCAGATGAGGTATACCACCTCATTGACAACTATGGGGCTTCATTGAGGTAAGTGGTAGAAAATACTGGTCCTATGTTTAGGTTACATGTTCATCAAACATTTTTGTCTTCAATAAGAACATATTCTGGCTTGTTCTGTATACATTAGTACAAAGCAGAAGAGGGACTGTACAGTGCCCTTACTTATTTTACATGATGTGCTTTCTGGTTGCATCCTGACCATGCTGAAGGTTAAGGAGCAGGTTGTGCAGAGCCTCTACCATGGTGAGAAAGGGGAGGGGTCTAGGTGGAGCTCTCATTTGGCACCAGCAACTTTTCCAATGCCATAGTGATGCCATCATGTCAGAGTGTGAATAGCAAGAGGCATGGACCTAGCTTCTTCCCCAGAGAAGCTGACCAAGAGGATTATTTTAACTCTCTGGTTCATAAGCTCCCTGCTCCAGGTATAACACAATTGTTTAGTGCTGGATTGCACACTGAGCGTCTTGCCTCTAGTTATTTTCTTTCTGTTTCTTTTTTTGGCATTCAGACCAATACTAGCTAGGAGTGGTACTTTGCCAGATTTTTTTACAGAACTGACTTAGTGTCCCTAAAACTTAGTTAAGCTGTATGCAGCGTGTTGGCTTGCAGCTACTTACCCAAGGAAGAGAACTGCTTTTTCCCCTTTTATTTTTCCGTCTTCCAGCTGATGTCTCCAATCTGAGGAATCCTTTATCATCAGAGATTGTTATTGCACTGTATGATGTGGGACAGGTGAATGCTTTTTGTGTGATACTTAATGTCCATTGGACTAATCTATTATGCATTAGTACAGTTTTGCTAATTTGTAGTAGAATTAGTCCAATGGGCACTTAGTTCAGCTTTCTAGTCCAGTGGGCATTAAGCATTTTGTGTAGACATGCCCACTGTTCAGTAAATTAGGCTACTTTACTGTGCAGTAAATGTATTATGTAGTAAAGCCAGAAAACATTAATTGCACGTGTGTATACGTACCTATGATGAAAAAATACCAAGTGGTTTGATTTTTTTTGTTTGTTTGTTTGTTTTGGTCATGTACAGTAAACACAACTATTTAAATTGCCACTAAAATATATAAATGGTGAAAGAAACCTAAAATTTCTATAGTGATGCAAGAAGTTGTATTTGAAAAGCCAGTATTTGTGCTGTTCTGTTTTTTCAGAGCATTCTCTGCAGCTTTACACTGTGAAACAAATAGGTGCTGTTTTCACCATCAGCAGTAATACAACTTTTCTTCCTATTTAAAATATCCCTATGTATTCTTTGTTTGATGTCATGGTGATAACTATGCAGTGAATTGTGGAAACACCAATATACATTGCATTTATCATGCATACTTGACTACCTCATCTGTATTCTGTCCACTCTCTATCTTCCACTGAATGACTAAGTTTCTAAGCCTCTGAGTAGGTTCCAACAGCTCTTGTTAAATCCTGTTGAAAATTCTTTCTTTTCTCAAAATGTAGGATTTTCTACAATAATTACAGTGGTCTTCAGGTCCAGGTTGGGTAATATGTAGTGTACTGTACCAACACCAGGATTAAATTCTGATATCTCAAAATTCAGCACAAGTTGAGCTTATAGTTTTATATCCTCAGTAAGGGAAGATTTCCCAAATGTCCTGTCACAGCTGTCCTTTGACATATGGTACAACCTCTTTTTAGCAATGTCTTTGTTTCTTCCAGTATTGAGAACTAACAAATGATATTTTACAATGTTTCAAGGAAAGCTCATTGCAAAACAGGAAAATGGTTAGTGAACATTTAATGATTTTCTTTTCCTTGAAAAATATTTTGTAATGCACAGCTTTTTCAGTCAATTTTATTATCTGGTATGCTCTGTATGTCCACTCTAATCCCCTTAACTCATTTTGTTTAGGTTCGCTGGGGTGATAAAGGATCCACTGAAGAAGGAGCTAGGTTAGAGAAAGCCAAAAATGCTGTGGTGACAATACCAGAAGAACCAGATATTCCCATTCAACCCAAACCTCCTAAATCCAAGCCTACCTCACCAGCTATTCAGGAGAAGTGGTACACTCCAATTAAGGTAATCTTTTAATCTTAAAGTGGCTATGCATAACTTTGCTATGTTTTTGTGCTTAGAGATCAGAGTGTCGTTTAGTTATACTACTCCTGTACAAACAATCCCATTAAAATAAATAGAACTATTCTGAGGGGGAAGGCTCTACTCATGTGTTAGCCTTAAATTTAGCCTTTGCTAATCTAGTTCAGAATCTGATACCATTTCTTCAAATTAATAGTATTTTACACCATGACCACTTCAATCAATGAGACTACTCCTGGAGTAGGGTGCAAATCAACATAAGAATAGCAGAATCAATCTCCTTTTTGATTTTGCTCTTGCTTCAATATTCAGCTGTCTACTCTTTAAAAACATTAAAGTTTCCTGTATACAGTTTGCAGTGATTTTTGCTAAATAGTCTTTAATAGACATTATGAATTAGAAAAGATAAACATGAAGTAAAGGGGTAGAGTGAAAGAATATACAAACCTGACTAAAAGAGAAGAAAATAAGTGCTTGCTAATGACAGTATTATCAAATGGAGATTTTCCTTCAAAAACTGAAAGCCACAGTAAGCAACTTCTCAAAAGTTGGATATGAGGCCCATATATACTTTCATGGCAGGCAGATATCTGACTACTGGACAAAAAAACATCCTGATTGCATTGTGGTCTAATTTATATGCTCAGATCTACACATGCAGTGGGTGTAAAACTAAACTGAAATCTCCTGGCTTTGTCCCCTTGGCCTTTGCGCTTGAATACTCCTTGACAGTAGCCTTAATCATAGTCTTAATGAAGTCACCATGGCTTTATCATCTCATTTTCAGAGGACTAAATAAATTTTAAATACTAAATGTAGTTTACAAAATCTGCACAAACTATTTTAAAATGCATTTATTCCTGGAATATGATCATTTGAATAAACAAATGTGATTTAAAGGACATTCTTCTTTTTAATTGTGGGTCAGAGTTAAATCTTCCACTTTGACAGCATGGTTTCCTTTGCTAGCCATTGCATGGATTTAAAATGGTGAATATGTATTGACATGGTCATTTTACTTGAGATAAACTTTTTTCAGTGGGTAAGCTTAAGTTCTGAGTTCTTGAGCTAATACAGCTATTGAAGGATGTGGTGGATGCTCTGTTCAACACCAGCTTTGGTTAAGCAAAAATCTTTAAGGACCATAAAAGTTTTAAATGAATGAAGACAAGGTTAAGAAGAAGAATAAGGTCATTTCATTTCTTCTCTTCATCATGTTTTTTTTTTCACCCAGATGACTAGTACATACTGTATGTGTGTGTCACACACACACTATAAAATGTACAGCTGTACTTATATACTGATGTAACTTGCCGTATGGGGCCTCTTATTTTAGAATAAATATTCTAGCATAGGTATAGGAATTTAAATTTACACCTTACCTTTTACTCATGTAACCAGTGCCCCCTGTGCTTTTCCCCATACCTGGGTGACCCCAGTCTAGGGAAGGCAAGGGTTCTAATTCCCCAAGACCAGAGCTCAGCCCCAGTTTGTGTATGGGAGAGAGGGGATGGCTGCAGGCTGAAATGCTTGGCTGCTCTCCCCCCTCACTAGGACTTTTAGCACTGCAAATTTCTCATTACACTGACCCATTTAAGCAATACTCTTTGATTGTCATTACAGGACTGTCCACGCATGTGTACTTGTATTTGCTTAATTATACTGGTACAAATCTCTGTGTCAACACTCTTGTGTTAAGGATGATGCATCAATTTAGCTTCAAATTGTATTTAAAACTCTATTTCATCTACACTGAGCTAGTCATGTTTTAAACAAGGGGTTCTCAATAGGGCTGTGCAAAGCTTTGGTAGCCAATTCAATTCAGAGGAATCTCTGAATCTGAATTGAATCAGGGGACCAATTAAAAGCTCTGAATTGATTTGGGGAAAAAATTCAGAAAAAATTTGTCAATTCAGCTGTAGACTAAACAGGCATCTGACACAACTGCTTTTAACTGGTAAGTCAGTCTGAGTTTGGGAGAGGAAAGGGGCATGGGGGAGGGAGGAGTTGGGGCTGGGACAAGCTGCCCAGCTGGGGTGGGGGGTGTGGGACTTGGGGAGGGGGGCGTGCAGTATATATAAGGGGTGTGCATCAGGATCTGGGGGAATGCCTGTTCACCAGAGCGCCCCAAGGGATGACAAGGTCCAATGGTCATAAACTCCTCCAAGACCATTTTAGGCTGGACATAAGGAAAAACTTCTTTACTGTCTGGGCCCCCACCCCATGCCACCTAGCAAGCAGTGGCAGGACAGAGTCCCTGCTGCCTGTGCTGATGTGAGTGTGGCAGTGATGGAAGCAGGGGCTATGCCTAGCTGGCATGGGGGGGCACGATGCAGGCACGGCTTGTTCTGGGCAGAAGGGGGCAAGTGGCAGCAGAATGTAGTGCTGATACAGGCATGGCAACACTGGGAGCGGGGGCTCTGCCCTGCTGCTGCTTGCCCCCTTCTGCCTGGAGTGAGCTGCACCCATAACCACACAGTCAAATGGGTTGCCAACTGGCTGGAGGGCCGCACCCAGAGGGTGGTAGTGGATGGGTCCTTCTCAACTTGGAAGGACGTGGGCAGTGGGGT